CGAGTGCTCGGGATTCAGGTTTAGGGCTTTTGATCGCAACAATAGTTGGAACAAGTGATAATAATGCTAATAACAGTGATGGTGTGGAATTGCAAGAATTGTTGAGGAATGCCGATAGAGAAAACGTGATTAGGGTTCAAGAAAGGGATCATTTGTTGATTTCAGTTGGGGAAAATGAAAATCGGACGAGCAGAGGCGAAATTGAGGAGGTAGATGATGATACGGTTGAAACATCGCCTCTAATGGGAAATCGAATGCAATCAAATCCGAACGAGCTCACAGTTAACAACAATGGTGATGGGAATAGGGTTTTGCAGGAAAGGGTGGATATGGAAGAGGTGAAATCGAGAGGGATAAAGCTCGGGATGGGAGATTTTATCTTCTACAGTGTGCTCGTGGGGAGGGCAGCTATGTATGATTTAATGACGGTGTATGCATGTTATCTCGCCATAATATCAGGACTCGGGTGTACTTTGATACTTTTGGCCATTTGCCGTCATGCTTTGCCGGCATTGCCTATCTCGATTAGTTTGGGGGTTATATTTTACTTCTTGACGAGGCTTTTGATGGAGCCGTTTGTTGTGGGGGCTTCGACTAATCTGATGATGTTTTGAGAGTTTGAAACAAGGTTTATTGTGCGAGTTTTAGATGACTTCTTGACGTGCACCCGAGTGATTTTTGGTCTAATTTGTTGTTGGTTGACTGTAATTTTTTGTATGTTTATATCTTACTTGAAGATGGATGTATGTTGCAATCTTCATGTAAAGCGATCGTCTAGAAAATGGAAAGTGAACTTGTTTCTCTTTGTATTCTTCGGTGTTTGGGAGATTTCATAGTTGTGTTTAAGATTCATGGTTTGGCTTTTGCTTAGGAATTAAGATCCCCGGAAGTATATTTACTGTAGAGTTGTACAAATTGAAATACTAACTACAGGTGATGAGCTTTTTGGCTATATTCAAAATTTCAAATGTCACTTTGAGTATAGCTTGATTCAGTTCATAGTTTCTTGCTGTCTTGTGAATTTCGAAAGAACAAATAAACAGTCCCCTGCTTTTCATGTCACAAGATGCGAATAAGACAACGCGAAACCGTAGTGGCATTGGTAGTCATTCTTTCATACAATCTGAAAAATATCCTCAAAATTCATTAAACTCATTCTAACAATAGATATGCAAGACAATATTCATGGACCTATACACGGTTACAAAAGATGCACTGCTCAAAATTACTAAAAAATTTAGCCTTTTTCTCCTTCACAACACCACTACAACAAAGGAAGAAACTTTTTTAGTCGTCATCAACAACAACAACTACAACAACATAGCCTTTTAGTCTCAAACAAGTTGGAGTAGGCTAGAGATGAAACTCAAGAGAACCAATGGTAAGAGAAACTTTTGTAGTCATCAATGTATCTTAATGCATTTCATTTCCTTCAGCTATCTTTTCCTGCGATTTGTCATCACCATCATCATCATGCTTGCTCGATTCACCTTCATTCTCGGTTTCTTTCAACTGTGGCGCATCTTTAGAAACTAATTGTCCGACTTTAACGTACTTCTCCATGAACTTATATTCCCAGTCTTGGAGAACCTCCAATTCGGACTCACTCAGGCCTTCAATGTTCCCGGTGAGGTCTTTTGGGTCGAATGACATGAGGGCCAGGGCCCTGCTTGCATCCCTACCGGCAAACAGTGCATAAGGCCCACCGGGCCCATAGAACATCCTGTCATTAACATCACTTAATAATGATTAGAGTCATTCTTAACTGCATATTAAATGGGATGCGTATCAAGAACAGGAAGAAAATAAATTGCCCCTGCTATTACTTTTTTCCTGCCATTACACTTTTTCTGTTTTCTAAGTTAATGTAGATAAAGCAGAAATAACTTGTCCACAAGCTCATGGAATTTTGAATTTGGACTTGCTAACAACAGGCAGATGCATATACAGATTCACATGAAAAAGTTAGATAGATAGAGAGAGAGAGAGAGAGAGAGAGAGAGAGAGAGCATGGAGGTCAATAAAGCAACTCCGAGAAAAATCTCTGAATCTAATGAAGCGTTTGCGCTCCTCGAATAGCAGTCAAATCCGGTAACTTATACATGAATATGATAAAATCGTGTACAATAAGCTATGGTTTCATTGTATTTCACAATAAGCTACTCCCTCCTATTTTTAATATTTGTCACTTTGGCTTAATGGATCATTGACTAAATAAATGTCGTTTTGACAATTTTTAACCATTCATCAATGCACAGTGCCTTTTCATATCCCATTCCCATATTTTTCCATAACATCCATTAAATAAGGTTAATATTGGCAAAAAAAAATCTTAATTAGCGTGTTGCTTCTCAAAACGACAAATAATAAAAATAGGAGGGAGTACCATTTTAAAGTCCTCCCTATATATAATTACAGAATGCGTTGAGCCTACGTGGCTGATTCTGGTGCTTCGGAATCCTACTTGGCGAAGAATCATGCTTCGTAATTAGGTTTGGACAAATAATATTTATATATTAATAATTAATAATCTAGGTTCGGATATTCCATAAATATTATTTAGCTAATTTAGGTATTTTAATATCACTTGTACTAATATAACCTTTTAATTCTTTGTTATTTTACATAGTGAGACATTAAGTGACTAATATATCTCTGACTTTTGATTTGTTTCCTGCAATTATTTATTGAATTGTAAATGTATTTTAAAAGTTGATAACTTGTTTATTTGTTATCGGTTTTACATATACAATATATCAAATTAATCATCTTTTGATTATCTTCGATTTGACATCCATATTGTATATATGAAATAAATAAATATATTTATCTTTATAATAATAAAAAATAATACTATTTATTAAAATTTATTAGAAAAATAAAATTATTTCTCACTTGATATATTTATGTTTAATGTAGTCATATGTTGTACGTTAAAAAAAATATTATAATATAACACAAGTATATCACACAAATAAAAAGTGTCGTACTAGATATATAATAATATATATTTTTATTAAAGGTATTTAAATTTTCAACTATTTTTTCTCATTAATTTTAGATTTTAAGAAGAAAATTAGCAAGCACCCGTGTAATACACGGGCGTTGTACTAGTTAAGAGAATAAAGAAGTTGTAACAGTGAGTGACAAAGGCTATGTTTGGTAACCAAATAAGCTTCATGTATTCAAATAAGCTCGTTGATATTTTTATTTCAGCTAGCTTATCAGCTCATTTTATCAAACACTTTTATTACATAAGCTAGCTTTTCAGCCATAAATCTTAAGTATCCAGCTATAAGCTCAAAATTAAATTAAAAGTTATAAGTTAACTTATCAGCTAGGTTTACCAAGCCAAATATAGGTTGGACTTTGTAGATGCCCCGTGCAAATTCTATAAGTGTAAGTTGACACAATGAACATTTTGGTAGCTAGAGAATGTTACTTCACATAGACGGCACAGTGGTTCCTTACTTTAAAAATATATAATCTTGAGCTTGCATTCAACGTCTAGGCAGCTGTTCACAGGCCAAATTATTGTAAACACTGAAAGCCAAAAATATAATCATGCAACTATGCAAGCAACTGAAGGTTGAGGACTATCTTGTAAGAATATCATCCATAAGCTCCCTCAGATTTCAGCTCAAACGTTTTCACAGACTAGAACTTAACTCAGCTCCAATCGAAACGAAAGCTATTGCCTAAATACAACAAATTACTTAGTCATTCAAAAATAACAAAGCAACTCTCATTAAATAATTACTTCAACGAGTGCTTCCACTAAAGTTTTCAGGCCATGAATTCGGAGATTACCATTCACAAAGATAGAGAAAAACGACAACTAGAATCCTATAACTGGAAATTCTAAACTAAGAAAATAAATAATGGTGGTGGGCATGGAAATAATTACAAAGTTATAATTTTGATCTTGCAACGTCTAGGCAGCTTGTTCACAGACTAATTAAGTAATTAGTGGAAACGTTAAAAGCTAAAACTATACTCCGGTGAGCAACTGAAGGTTAAAAAACGATCTTGTAAAAACATCAACAATAATCTCAGTAAGAATTCAGCTCAAATATTTTCACAGATCAGAACCTAACTCAAGTCCAATCGAAACAAAAGTTGTTAACTCAGCTCCAATCAATAGAAGACGAATCCCGAGCAAAGCAAAATCGCCAGAATATAACAGTTGTTACTTTGTTATTCGAAAATCTCAATGCAATACTAGATTGAATAATTACTTCAATGAGTGCTTCCATGAAAGTTATCAGACCATGAACTGCAGATTACCACTCACGTCGACAGAGAAACACGATGACTTGAACCACGATTATTAGAAACTACAAACTAAGAACATAAACTCTGTCCATTTCAATTCCTAACAGTAATCAACACAAAGAAACACACATTAAAACCCTTAATCTGCAAATTTGATAAGCCTCGAGATATTTAACCCGAGCAATAACGAACAAGCACAGAAGAACAGTGGCGCACAATCAATTTACCTGGAGCGAGAGACGTCGTAGATCTGTCCCTTGATGGCCATGAGCAGCGGCTTTTCCGGGTCGGACCCATCGTAAGCCCTCAGGTCTTCCTCAGCGACGTCGCCCATCTGAACCGGCTCGCGGGCCACGAACTCGTTGGCCCTCTTGACGGCGGCGTAGTCATCGGCGGCGACGAACATGCCGCAGACCACCTTGTAGGTGACGAACATCAGCGCCAGTATGGTGAAGAAGGCCGCCGGAGACAGCCCCGTGTAGTGGCCGATCGAGCCGGTCAACGCCCCCCACAGCTCCATTGATTAGTGGCTTCCTCT